CGGGCTGTGTCTGCCCTGCTTCGGCGCCCGTGCTCTGGGTCGGTGTGCCCGCGGCATGGGATAAGACGCAGCCATGGTGCGCCGAGATCGCCTCCGCAGGTGGGTTCCCGCGGCCGGCGCGAGGGGGTGTGGCTGGCTGCGAGCCGCCGTCGGGCGCTGGGCGCTGGCTAGCGGGTAGGGTGTGTGTCCGAGCTGGGGCTGCCGGACCCTGCTCCCGCAGTGGAGGGAAAACCCCACCGGGGGCTGGGCGGGGGACCCTGCTGCTCTATCTACTTGGGAGGGAAAGCCACTTCTGCACGTAGTAGAACTCGGGATCTCCCTGATTTAGGATTTCTAGAACCCTGGCGCATCACCCTGGTGTGTTTTAAGATTTTTAGACCCCGTCATTGCCCTAGCGCGACTAAGGATTTTTAGACCCTGGTTTCGCCTCTGATGCGGTTTAGGATTTTTACACCCCCGTATTGTTTGATGCGATTTAGGATTTTTTAGATACTCACATTGCACTGGCGCGATGTAGGATTTCTGGACCCCGGCATCACTCTGATGCGATTTAGGAATTTTAGACCCCGGCTTCGCCCTGGCGCGATTTAGAAATTTTAGACCCTGGCTTCGCCCTAGCGCGCTTTAGGATTTATGGACCCCAGCATCTCCCTGGTGAGATTTAGGAATTTTAGACCCCGAATTTGCCCTGGAGCGATTTAGGAATTTTAGACCCCGGCTTCGCCCAGGCGCTATTTAGGATTTCTAGACCCCATCGTCTCCTTTGGTGAGATTTAGGAATTTTAGACCCGGGCGTCGCCCCGGCACGATTTAGGATTTTTAGATCCGGGTTTCATCTTGGTGCGATTAAGATTTTAACACCAGATATCCCCTGGCACAATTGATTTTTAGACCCCTGCATCTCCTTGGCGTGATTTAGAATTTCAAGACTCCGGTATTGTGGTGGTGCGATTAGGATTTGAAAACCCAGGTATTGTGGCGCAATTTAGGATTTCTAGACCCAGGTTTTACCTTGGCGCGATTTAGGATTTTAACACCGGATATCGTCCTGGCGCGATTTAGAATTTCAAGACTCCGGTTTTGCCGTGGGCAGTTTAAGGATTTCAAGTCCCTGGTATCGCCGAGGTGTGAGTTACCGCATAGCTGTGATGAGGGCTAGCATTAGCTTATCACGGAGCGTAAGTATTTTTGAGATGTCAGTAACAAGCTGAGTGAAAATGGTGATGTGACCAATCATCATGTTACACAGGAATTGTTTGCATTCGTTTACAATGCAAGTAGTCCCAGGTCTCCCACCATGCAGTAAGGTGGGGCAGGTTTGGTGGTATTAAACGTATTTTTCCTGTTTACAAGGTGAAATCAGTGCTGGGAAAGGTTCATTAATTTCTAGAAGGTTTGTACTGGGATTTGCCAAATTTATTCTCCTAACTCATGGATAATGGAGATTTTGGTAAAAAATGTTTAATCCATTTTGCTTACTTACAGGTTGCTTCCCTACTAAAAATCCTAAAATGTCATTGGGGCATTTTTACTGAGGTGATAAAGACAGAAAAACGGCTTCCAGAGGGGTAGCGTCTTGGTTTTCTTGCAGTAAAAGACAAGGTGTGGAGGGTGGGGATGTCCAGGAGCAGAATGTGTGATTGTCTACCCCTCTCCACTGGGTGGGGGGTGCCCCTGTTGGCTCCTCCAGCAACCCCTCCCCTGCTCTCTGCTGAGTCATTGCAGATATCTGGCTGCTGAGACCTGAATGGAGGAGAGGAAAAGCTGGGGGATAAGGTGTGATGAAATGTACCCCTGAAAATGTGTGAGCTGGAGTATAGTAGGGATAGCTCAGAAGATGACAGTCTAAACCTAATTTTTTTTTTGTCATCTCCTCTTTCATAGAGATGTTGGGATGTAGCCTGCTACTATTGTTAAACAGATATAATCATCACATTCCAGGCATTTAAAAAAATAATTTCTAATATTACTTTGAAAGGTAGAACCAAATCACTGACTGGGTTTGTCTTATAGACAGGTACTTTGGAGGGGAAGAAAAGCCTGCAGTAGTGGTACCTAAAAATAGGCAAAATAGCTTATATTCATTAAGGAATGTGGTTATTTTACTACTATAGAACCACGGGCTTATTTATTTTAGAGTTAAAAAAATATTTTGTGGTGGGTAGGGATTGTGGCCATATGGTAGAAGGGTGTATGTACAGACACACAGCCATTTCTACCAGGGTTTCAGCAATTAATTTCTCTTATATATAGCTCTGGGTTATTTTGTTTTTTAATTTTAGTTTTAGAAGTTATTTCCATTCTAGCTATTTTGAGAGAACTTCCATTCTACTGATAATTCTTTCCCTGGTGGTCATCAGAAGTGACAAGATAGAAACAGGGAACTGTTTCTAGTTCCTGTTTAGCAGTCATTGTTATTGTGGACAAATTGACCTGGACCTTTTAAGTCCTGGGCATGGGAAGTTGGGTGTGCAAACCATGCTCTCCTTCCAATGACAGAATCAATTCCCAGATGTTCGGTATGAGCTCCACCTTATTTGGGGGGCGGAGAGGGGAGTCCTAAGAAATTAAATAAATGGGAGCTTCCTCAAGAGTCTGCTAAGAAAAGCAGAAATATAATCTGCTGCCCCGACTTCTCAAGAGATTAGATATTCAGGGTCACGACAAAGCTGCTTATGTTGGAGTATGCAGTGCACCTATCTTCTCTCTCACACGCTTTACCCCGAGCAGTAAAGGTACCCTGCACAGATCCAGGTAGTGGCACCAAACAGGGCTTCACTGGGGTGAGAGGGTTGGTAAACACCAACAGATGAAGAGCACCGCTCTGCAGGAGGACATGTAATATTATCACACATATTTTAAAACAGTTAAAAAATATATAATATTTTATTGGTGGTGGTAGAGCTGTTGACTACATGTGAGGGAAATCCTACCCCCCGGGAAAAGCCCATGAAGAGGCGCCCCACACCACCACAATACTGTGACCATCCTTTCCTTCACATAAAACCTCTCCAGTAGGTCTTGGGAACAGCACTAGGGGAGGGGCTGAGGGATTAAAGTGGGGAGAAGAGGAGGAAGATTACATATTAAAATATATTTTTTCCCCCTGAAGATTAGAATGGTGAGCATATATGGTGATTGCCATGGCAGGCAGAGGTGCGCTTACATTTTTTTGGAAAACTTTCCACCGTGGTTCATATGAGGGTGAGGAAGTCACCGCATGGTACAGCAGTTCCCTACCCTATCTTACCAGTTTGGGGCTTGTAGATGCATGTGCAAGGTCACCTGACTGCTTAGCCCTGGTCTCTGACTTTCCAACAGGATGCGGGAGTGGTGGGTGCAGGTGGGGCTGCTGGCGGTGCCGCTGCTTGCGGCCTATCTACACATCCCGCCCCCCCAGCTTTCCCCCGCTCTTCACTCATGGAAATCTTCTGGCAAATTCTTCACCTATAAGGGATTGCGCATCTTCTATCAAGGTAAGAACAGGACTTTTGGAACACCCTGTGCATATAGGTCCCCAAAGTACCACTGAGGTACTTACTTTGTGTCCATTGGTCTCTGTTGGCCCTCAGTAATGGAAAAAAAACCCCTTTTCTGTGAAGCATGCTTGAAGGAATGGACTAACCCCCCCCTTAACTTGATAGTAGGGAAACACAAGAAAACTACTGGGAGGAGGAGGTCGTGGAATTGAAATTCCAATCTCTATAGAACTGACTTTTTAGCATAATTTTTTTTGTAGCCGATTTGTATTGATATTTTCTTTTGAGCGCCCCTAGTGTTGGGTAATATAAATAGTATTCACAGATAAAGCTACCATTGGTTTTATTTCCCGTTGTGTAACTGTGATTTAAGTCTTATACCTTTGTATAAATTAATTTGCTAATGATAATTATTGTTATGACTGCTACTTACCCAGTAATTACCGTATGCCAGGCATCGAATTATATTTTCAATCTTTATAATTTCATTTAATCCCTATAACCGTACTTGGAAATAGGTGCCTTTAACATCATTTTTTAGGTAAAGAACCTGAGAAACGAGATTGGAAAAGATTTCTTTTGGGCGGGGGTCAAGAGCAATAACGAAAAATGTTTGTCATAAACCGTTTTTCATTATTGCTCCTGACCTCCTCTCATTTGCTGTATTCAATTAAGTAAGTATATAATTTTCTTTATGTTGGTCATTTAGGTTGTTTCCAGTTTTTCAATGTTTTAGTTTCAATGTTTTAGTTCAGTGTTTAGTTTCAATGTTTTATATGAAGGGAAATCTTCATATATGTGTTTATTTTTTCTATATATTTTCAAACTATACTACTTGTAAATAGAATTATTTTATTTGCAGGGATTCTAAAGAATAAGACATATAGGCTAAAATATATAAAATTTTAAATTGCTTCTAACTAAATTATTTTGCAAACTTTATTTTCAACATCTCATGCCACTGGCAGTATATGAATGTATCAGTTTTAATCTAATGTTAGCAAGGTCTTCTATTTAAATGTTTGGGTAATTTAAAAGATGTTTAGTCATTAAAAAATGTTCAGGTCTATATTGATTAATCCTTTTTTATAGTTAGAACTTTGTAATAGTTTGAGCATGATGCTTTTGATATTTATCTCCTCTGTGGGAAATAAAAGTGCGGGACAAACAATATAAACTAAGATACTCACAGGGTTGAAGAAGAGTTGCTATATTTTAGAGAATTTTTGTGTGGTTATTAATGATAAGGTACAAATAATTTGTTTATATATTGTGATCATATACATTTAACTGAAAGTTTACTTTTTAATGTGAAAAGCAATTTACATGTTAACAATACACAATAATAGCAGAAATGCTTAAAAAAATCTCAGTGAAATTAAGCCAACTCCCTTTAAGTATTTTCATATAAAGTGTCCTATTTATAATTTTTTAATATACAGATTTTAGAAAATCAAATGCCTATTTTTACCTAAAGCAATAAGCTTGCATTTTAAAAAGAAATTGATTACTTAGATTTTATTATCTTCAAGGTTATTTTGATAGGGAGTTGGCCTAACGGATCTCTCTCCTTCTTCCCAGACTCTGTGGGTGTGGTTGGAAGTCCTGAGATAGTCGTTCTTTTACATGGCTTCCCGACATCCAGCTATGATTGGTATAAGGTAATGACATCAGACTTTCTGGGTCCTACTATGTCTTTAAAAATGCAAAAGTCAAGGATTTTGTCATCAGCACGGAAAGGCACTTGCATTTTTGAATTGCTTAATAAAATAGTATTAAATGTATAACTTTTTCATTTACTGTAAGGGAGTAAAAACCTGGCAATTGGGAAGGCTCATTGCCAAGTTAAAAATGCTGGAGTTCCTCCCTCGATAGAGATTAATTATTAGGAATGAAGCACTGCAAGGGGATCGTCGTGGCCTGTGGTGGTTCCATGTGAATTTTCCCTTTTTTGAAGTCTATTTGTTAAGCTCAGAAAGGGATGAAACCCTTACGCTGCTGTAGGCTGGAGGGGCGGGGCGGGATCAGAAAGGCCGAAACATCCCTTTCTTTCTTATAGATTTGGGAAGGCCTGACGCTGAGGTTTCATCGGGTGATTGCCCTTGATTTCTTAGGCTTTGGCTTTAGCGACAAACCGGTAAGCAGCATCTGGGCGGGACCAGTGTTGTGGGACGGGGTGGGTGAGATGAGGGTCAGGCCGGAGACGGATGTGCAGTCCTGATTAATCCTGGATATCTGGGCTTTCCTTCCCTTAGAGACCACATCACTACTCCATCTTTGAGCAGGCCAGCATCGTGGAGGCGCTGTTGCGGCATCTGGGGCTTCAGAACCGCAGGGTCAACCTTTTGTCTCATGATTATGGAGACATTGTTGCTCAGGAGCTTCTCTATAGGTCAGTGAAGCGGTTTCACTCATTTAAGGTGTTGGAAAAGTAAATTGGTCCTGGGTACTTTCTAGCCCTTTTGCCTTTTGGAAGTTTGTCTTCAGCCGCTGCGTTGGTGCATGTCCGCTCAGTCAGATGCATTTGCCTCCCGCTTCTAGGTTCAAGCAGAATCGATCTGGCCGGCTTACCATAAAGAGTCTCTGTCTTTCAAATGGAGGTAATTGCTTTGGCAGTGGGTGGAAGGTGACATGGGCCACATTTTGCTATCAGTGACACCTAAATGGTAATCTGCTAGTATTATAGACAGACACAGTTTAACCAGGGGATCTTGACCTTTTTTGTGCCATGAATCACTTTGGTGGTCTGATGAGATATAATTACTCTTTCTCAAAATAATGTTTTTAAATATATATAAAAAAATAGGATTGCAAAGAAAACTGATTATAGTGATAGTTAATACAAAGCTATGTTATAAGTAATACGTGCTTTTTTAAAAGTTGATTTGAGAAACATTGATTTATTCCATTATTTGTGCACTGATTGATTGATTCTTATATGTGGCCTGAAGGGGATTAAACCTACAACCTTGGCATATTGAGATGACACTCTAACCTACAGAGCTACTCCTGGGCCTAGGTTTTTTGTTGTTGTTTTTAAGGACCTACGCTTCCTGAAAAATCCCTGGTTTCTCTTGCTGCCCAAATCATTAACACTGTGTTCTGAGGAATGGGAAGAGACACTAAGGGGAGTCGGAGCCTAGTCAGCAGCAGCATGGATGGCTGTATACGTTATTTTTCCCGTTTCTCTACCTTTCCAATCTGGAAAGTAATCCCAGTGGGATATAATTGGACCTGTTCAACCCAGAATTCCCT